CCCAGCCTTTGCCCAGTTGTTGCTTAAGTGTCTTGCTATGTTTTGCAGTTGGTAAGTCACATAGAAGAGATGCTGCAGACAGCCTACAACAAGCTACACACGTGGCAGTCACGGCGTCTGATGAAGAAAACGTGAAGTGTCTGTGGCTCTCACAAGTTTTGTGAGATCAAGAGAACTGTGACCTGCAGTGACTCTGGAAACATGGCCTGACAGAAATGCAGATGATCACACAGAAGTGACAGCAAACATCTGCAGCACGCCAACTCTCGGAGCTGATGCTATTGTACTTGCACATTGTGAACTGAAAGGAAAGGAACTGATTAAACTAAAAGCTGGGAAGGTAAATTAAGGCAGAACCAAAATGAGCTAAGTTGCAAAAATATATATATATTTTAAAAAGACACTGTTTACTGCAGTTACTCAGGAACTGCTTTTGATTCACATTAAGCTGCTTTCAGAAATTTAAAAAACTTTTTAAAAGGGTGCATTGATAAAATCTGAGGTTTTTTTTGTTGTTGTTTTTCTGTGTAAATTTTTTTTTCTAAGTTTATGGCACAGGGTACACCTTAAGTATTTCCCCTCCATCCTCTACTTGGATCCTCAAGTGTTACTGAATTCTAGTTGTACCTTACATCAGCAAGTTAAAGAGAGTACTTTAAAGTAGAAGGAAACTGTTGCTCAACCAGCAGGAAACAGTTTTACTCAGAAGACATCGTTGGTCCTGTGTTTCCTACGGAAATAAGAAACAATAAATATTGCACTGAATGTGGTTGGAGTCCCTAAATGATAAAGGGAACATATTTGCAGAAAGTCATGTGGGGGTTTTTATGCAGAATTTTGTCAGAAGACAATGGCGCTGCATGTTTTTCTTCGAGTGCAAATGTACATTGCTAAGATTTTTTTTAATGGCATGTGCTTTGAGAAAAGGAAATTGCATTTTTAAGAGTTTAAAAAATCTTATGAGTGAGAAATATAAGAAATCTTACTTATTTTCACCTCTTTAGAAAAAAATAAAAGATGTTTCTCATACCTCCTTTTCTCCAGTATCTGACTGTTAACTGTCCTTGGCGAATTGATAATCATTGCATAGTGACTGAAAAGCCTAAATGCAAAAAAAAAAAAAAAAAGATGTGTTCTTGTTTCTGGAATCCATGCCATATTTTGTTCCTAACAGGATCAACTAACTGTTTAAGACTTTAGATGTCTTGTATTAAAAGTTACAGAAAAAAGTAAAACTTTTTATAGATACTCTTTCAACTGTAACACACCTTGTGGCTTCTCATTACGTGTGAAATTTATTGGGGTGGGCTGCTTGAAAGCAACTTACTCTTTTTTAAAGCCATTTTGCAGGCGAATTATCTTTAATATAATGGCTAGAACAGCTCAAAATTTCTTCAGACTTAGAACTGGTAAAAAGAAAGAGGCAACATCACTTTCTGCTTCAATCCCCATTTCTCTTTCAGATCACAGTAATGGCGTAATCCCTTATACCTTACAGTTTTACAAAGTGCTTTTTAAATGTATTATCACCACAGCTACTCTGAGGAATAGCAATGGAGCAGATAGAAAAATGTTTGAAACAGAAGAGTATGTCTGTTGGGAAAGGCAGATATAAAGAAATAAAATGCTCTGTTGAGTACTCTTTTAAAGATTAAGTGATAAAAATAGTAGAGCCTGAAGAAAGAAACCTTTTTGGGGAACTTAGTAGGCTTCACTAAAGAGGTAACAGTTAAACCTTGAATACGGAAAAGCATGGTAAAAGTATGAAAATTTTGAAATACCCCAGTGTGTTAAAAAAAAAACCACATAAGCAACAGTGATTTAGGTTTGGGGGTTGGGAGAGGCTGGGAAATCAATTTAGTTCATGTGAAGGGCTTCATAGGTAAGAAATTCAGAACTTTACCCATAAGGCATGGGGGACCTCAGAGGAAATTTTGAGCAAATAAGTGGTTTTTCAGAAGGTTTTTTTTATTGTTTTGGTTTTTTAGATAAAAAATCTGGCAGTCAGGGAAGCCAAAACCTAGAAGGCTTTTGGAACAATCCAAACAGGAAACTAGGTCCAAATGAAAGTGAAGTTCTGTAAATAGAAGGGACTGAGTAAGGTCATTGCGAAGGGATGTGACCAAGTCTCAGGGAATGAAGGACTTAACGGGAGATTTCACCAGAGAGAGTTCTCAGTTTCACATCTAGCTTGCATTTGAAATATTTGATCCTCGGAGTCCTTTAAAAAAGAACTTGCAGCAGCAGTTTAGGTTACGACCGCCTGACCTTCTTCCCATTGTGGAAAACGATGGCAGCCACTGGTGATGGAGAACGGCTGTAACCCAGCACTGCCAAGCACCTTTCCTGCTGTTAGCACTTCCTGCTCACAACAACCAGTGAATCAGGTAGGTGCTACAAATTATTCTACAGATTAGAAATGGTTTAGACATTAAATTACCCAAATACACAACCAGCAAGTGACAGAACTGAGATCTACCCTGAACTGCAGTTACTTGGGGATAAGAGGCTTGTGAAGTCGGAAACTTATTTCCCAGCCCGGGCTTCCATTGCCCACTTTGTTTTTTACTGCCCTGTTCTATTCTGCCTCCATTCTATTCTGTGCTGCTTTTATGGCAAATTATATTATGGTGTTACTCTGCCTAGTGGGTCCCATTAGCCCAGAAGACTGCCAAATGTAATATAATGAAACCATGTCCTGCCTTAGGAAAATGCATTTCCCCTGAAAAGAAGCATAAAGTCAGTGCTATTCTGGTTTGGACTTACACTCCAAAATGAATAGGATACCTTGTGATAACCACTGCAATCTGGGAAGCAAAAGAATGCTTTAACGTCTGTACCTAGAAAGGTAACCCACTCATTCAGGATTAGGGTTTAATCCAGAAAATGATTTCCTGTTGGTGCATATCTGGAGCCCACAGTGGCCCTGGAAAGGAAAGCTGCCCATTTTAAACTTAGATTTGCTGTCTCCAGTGTCAGGACCGGCACAGGATTTCTCAGTGCATTACCTCTGACCTTTCCCAGTTTAGCTTTAGCTTTTTTAACAACTCGGCTGTTCTCCCAGTTCCTGAACTGAGGCCAGGAGAATCTTAGATATTCTCGGCTCTTAAATTGTCCAGAGCTGGAGCATTTCCTAGGACTTGGTTCAGGGGTGATCAGCCTTAGTTTGTTGGCTATATCCTTGCTTGGGTGTGTATTAAAGTCAGAAAAGATTTCAGAAGTCAGACTTCGTAACCACGGAACCCTGTTTTCATGGTCGTTCAAAGAATCCCTACTACATAGGACACACGTGGAATTACACCTGTTGAGGTGAAGGCAGGTATCCAGTCCTCCCACCCAACAATACAGCAGGAAAAACCAATACCCTCTCTGGCTACCTGGCAACCTGCTGTGTGTGTTGAGATGGCTGATACCAGGAGCAGGATGAAGCTGAACTATAAGAAAAATCCTGGCTTAAATTTTACTTGTCTGTAGTCAGAAATCGCAAGATGGTAGACTTAAACTCAATTTTTTGGCAATTACATTAAATGTAAACAGATTAAACACTAAAAGACAGATTGTCAGAATGGATTAAAAAACAAGATGCAACCAAATGCTAATTATAATCACGGAAATGTCTACACAACTCACTGGATTTGCTCTTCCATCAGGTGTCAAATTTAGGTTCACCAGGTGTTAGAGTTCAAAGCCCTTTATTACTCAAATTTATTTCTCTCTAATTTTAGTAGCTAAGTGGCAAACAGAGTGGTATAAAGGGAATAACAAATACAAGATCATTGACTATTCATGTCCATTTAAAAAATTATAAAAGTTAATTTATTTTTAAAGTTTGAGTATATACTGAAGTATATAAAATAGAAAATGTTTCTGTACCCTTACCCCCAAATCTCACTCTCCCAAGGTAATGCTCAGTGCATTTTCTTCTGGACATTTTCAGTGCACTTAGAAGTAGTTACTTTTCTAACCTACAACCTGAGTTTTTTTTCTGGCAGAGAAATACCAGTGCACATATTCATGGCCTTTAAGATAAACTTTGACAAGGGTTCATCTCCATTTGTGGTCCTATGTAACTTTGTGTGAATTTCGGTCCTACCCATTAGTGTGCTATTTCTGACAGGCTATGCCTGGCCTGAAAACAAAAATTCCTTGGAATTTCACATATACAATCAGAGTCTTGTCACCCAAGAACATTTAGACCCACAGATGAAAACGGGAGAGAAAAAGTAGAGTGTTCCAATAGGTCTCCCCAGGATTGACTGCAACCTCAACAGACATGGTACAGCAGAGCTGTGAGAGCACAGACTAGGACCTAGACTGTTTGTGTTCAAATCCCAGCTGCATAGTTACTAGCTTGTGACCTTGAACAATTTGCTTAATCTCTGTTTCCGTTTCTTCACATAAAATGGCTCTCATAGTACTACTTGACAGATAGGGTTTATTGTGAGGATAAATAATAAAGTATATAAGACAAGTGGGCTCCTCACCTGTCTCAGAACAGCCCCTGGCACAGCTCCAGCCCAGACAAGTGAAGGGGACCAAACTTTCGCCACCCTGAAGCTGCTTTTTGGGATATTGATTTTAAGCTAGTTATTAAGAAAAGACTCAAAGAACCTTTTACCTTTCCCCTTCTGCCCAAGAGATTCAGGCAGAAAAACCAGCTTCAGGAAGGAAATCTTGGGATGTTCGCCTTAGCCTACCTTGAATGAAGTATGGTAAATAGCAGGGGTCTGTAGCTAGGCACCCCATGTCGCATGTTTCTGAGGTGCCTAGCAAGAATTTGCCTGCCATGTGGGTTCCCTCTTCCTCAACTACCTATAAATCTCCCATTCACACTTCTGAAATCTAAGACCCCATTCCCCCATGTTCTTTGTCCAAAATGATGTATACCCACTGGTGCCTCATTGTTTTTGGAATGTTTATGCATATATGAATTCCTCATGCGCATATATTAAAATTTGATTTTCTCCTGTTAATCTGTCTCTGTTAATTTGATTATTAGCCCAACTAGAGAAACTTCGAAGGTGGGAGGAAAAATAATTTTTCTTTTAGCCCCATACAAGGCAGTGCAGGCTGAGAGGCAGGTGGTATCAAAGTTCTCCCTGGCTCGTGGGCCTTGTCCCTCTTCTTAGGTTGAGCTTTCCAGGAAGTGTCTTCAGTTCAACATTCCAGATTGCCCCAGAGGGATAGAAAAGGGAATTAACATTCCTTGAGCACCTATTGGGTGGGCAGAGCTTTCCTTTTAAGCCTCACAACAGTACATGATAATGGAACTATCCTGATTGTACAGAAGCTCTATGAGATCAAGTAACTTGCCCAAGTTCTCATGAATGGCAGAGCCAGGAGTCAACCCCAGGCCAGTGAGGCCAAAGCAAAGAGCCATAATGAGGGGAAAACACCAGCAGGCCTGTCTCCTGGAGACACGAGCCTTACTCTGTTGTTGTCTGGACATTGCACGGCTGCCTCTCTTCCCAACCTGTGAGGAAAACCAGGCAGGGGCTGCCTTTCTGAACCCAGGCAATGGGCAGAGGCCAGCCAGTGTGTGGCAATGGCCAGGCAGTGTGGCCAGCTTAGGGAGGCCAGAAACACCCACGTGCTTTATTTACATCATAGACTCAGTAAGACACGTTATAGAAAACTGGGAAACTGGCAGCCCCTGTCTGGCCAGCCCAGCCCTGTAGTATAACTGGCTGTAGTACTAAGTAATAAGGTGTTCCTCTTTAAAAAAATAAAAGTAGATAAGGCAGGCATTGTGTGCAGGTTCTGGAATGGCCCTCACCTGAGGAAGGGGTCAGGCTAGGCCTGGGTGCAAGGTGAAGAACTCCACAAACCCCAGTCCGAAATAGCTGAAACAAGCTGTAAGAACAGTGACCACAAACTCGCATCGCTCCTCAGCTCATTTCCTGAGATAGGAATATGGTTTGTTAAGAAATTCCCCTGTGCCAAGTAATGTTGTTTGCATTAAACCTATTACCCTGTTTTCCCGAAAATAAGACTTAGACAGAAAATAAGACTTTGCATGATTTTAGGTGTCAAAATATGGCACGTTGGTACACTGAATATTTTAAGCTGAAGGAGTCTGTGGAAAAGGCACCCTTCTCCCTGAAACAGATCATAAAACCCTCATGTG